TATATATATAATCTGCGTGGTTGGCTTAGACCAGATCATGTAGACAAGAGTGCTCAATGCAGTATATAGCAGAGCAGATAGACGAATAAAACATGTAACACTGGGTTAAAGACTCAACATTTTATTGCACTACAGGCTGTTTCATGAGGTGCCTCAATTATCAGGTGCTAGGCTCGGAGTGAAGGAATAATGAATCCATAGAGTGTGACAGTTTATCAAAACAAAAGTATGTTAAAAAAAAGCAGTGATTAAGTCTCTATTGTTTAGATGGATAAAAGAAAGCCTATAGGATTAAGTAGTATATCGTAACAAGAACTTGCGTCTATGTCTACATGAACTGAATAATTCGTTCCTTTGATTTAGAGTACAAATTTCGGGTTGACATATAATAAAATATTTATCTTGTATACAAAGGTTACATCGTTTGGTAGAGTTGGAATATTATTTACATTTAGACAATATATGCTATTTAATTTTGTACTTTATGTTATCTACTTTAATCTTCCAAACATATTGGCTAAGTGTAGTGTTATTCTTGTATTTATCATTACGGAATGAGCAGGTATGCCCATTGTATCTACTTTTAAACGTATTTTACGTAAGACCAACGTATGTTTCAACTTCATTATTCTCGTCCCTAGTAATTGTAGCTTGGTATACTACGCTTCTACAGACATTTCCCAGATAGTGGGCATTCATTATGGTTTCGGCAATTGCATAGCTTGCAGTTGTCTTCTGCCTTGTCATTTTTTAGTATGGTTTTATTATGGGCAGAAATTATAGATCCTATTGGGCATGCAGCTATAACTTATCGTAACAGTGTTCCTATTAAAAATCTTTCTTAATACATGATTTTGTGGGAAACAATCATCTATAATTCTAAGGAATACGTGGAAAATTCTGGTTTTTACATTACTACTGTAGGGTGGATTAAACCAAATAACGTTCCTTTTTCTTTTCTTGTTAATGTGAGTGTTAGTAGAAGGGTTATATTTTAGTTCATATTCAAACTCGCTTTCGTTAAGAGCTTCTTGGTAGGTTTTTTTTAGTGTCGTTAAAGGCTGTCTCGTTGGATGATGTTATCGTTGGATGATGATATGTTCAACTTGAGCACCCAAACTTTGTAGACCTACACAAATATTTCATTACTGATCAATTTTTAGTAACTCGTTAGTGAAATAAGTAGGTCTTTCACGGAAATACTGTACTCTCTAATGACTCAAGTTACTGCATCACTTTTTATAGTTTTAATCCAACCAATTTCTTCAAATTTTAAATCCATTTCCCCTGAATTTCTGATAAATCGTTATCACGCATGGACTTTTGTTAAACGCGTGACAAATTTAGGATCACGCATGTGCTTCTGCAAAATGCGTGTTTCATCCAAAATTGCTTTGAAATTCGGGACCGTCCCGCACGATGCGAGACGGTTAGTAACTATGATTATATGTATTATATTATTGTTATTGTATAGACCGAATATTTGTTAAACACAGATACCTTTTTTTTACATACAGTCTATTACCACTCTTTTTATTATTACTATAATAATAATAATAATAATAATAATAATAATAATAATAATAATAAATTATTATTATTATTATTTTATTATTATTATTGTAAAATTTGTTGTTATCATTGCTATTACCGTATTATTATTATTGTGAATATTATAATCCTTAATATTATTATCATTAGTCTTAGTAT